AATGCTTCCTTAAATAGAATTACAGCTGGGAACTGAGCCTCGCCTGGTATCACAGCAGGACAATGTCAAGCATGCGAACATTGCCCATCGTATGTGCGGCAACAGAAAAAAGTTTGAGAGCAGTTGCTCTAAAATGCAATTTCCAGATGTTTTCTTCTGGAGGCATTTGGTGACAAGAAGGGGAGCACGGCTTCAAGAAGCTGTCCACTGACCTTCTTTGAGAAGGAGTTGGGACGATGTTGCCTCCCACATTCAATGAGGAATGCACACTGCTGGCACTTTACCTGCCTCAGAGCAAAAATACCGATATCCGAGGTGGGGCTTTGAATCAGATGAGATTCCTCGACATTTGATGGTGACGTCCTCTCTACATGGCATGAGTTGTTGACCCTGACTGCACTGTAGCCTCACACAGCAGCTTTTAAGAAATGGCAGTGTACAGCCTCGCTCTCCTCCCCCCCACCCCCCATTCTGATTTAATTGCTTTGGGTGAGCCTAGGCATTGGTATTTCTTAAAAGCTCCCCTTGTGATTTTAATGAGAAGCTGGCGGCCACCTGCTGATCTATAATCCTTGGGTGCTAGAGCCAGTGTAACTCGGAGAGAGTGCATATTCTGTGCAGAGCCAATACGAGGCCTTGGGGAGGAGGCTCAGGAACTGGAGCTGCTCTCAGTCTTTGAAGAACTCACAGCCCTGCAGAGGGCTCCACAGCTGCATGCTCACATCCCAATTAAAACGCTATGAACATTTTGGGGTTTGACAGCTCTAGAGGTGTGGAAAACTTAGGAAGATTCAAGAAAAGAATGGGTGAAAAAATTTAAGAAGTTTGGAATATAAAATACATGAAGCAAAAGTCAAAAGTTAGATTTCCTTAACCTGGAGAAATAGAGTTAGCAGAAGAAGAGTTAGTTTCTTGACTATCTTTAAGTGTATACATATATCCCACAGGAAGAAAAATCTAGGACACAAAAATCCAAATGTGTGAAATAGACACAGCAGAGGGTAATTATTTACACCCATACTATATGCACAAACACACACAGATTAATTACAATCAGATATTTACATAGTGTTCGCCATGAGCTGGATGCCATTCTAAGCTCGATATAGAGCTGGGTACACATTCACTCACTTATCTCTTATGGCAACCCTATGATATAGATACAAATATTATTCCCGTTTTAGAATGAGAAATCTGAGGCACTCAAAGGTTAAGTAACTTGCCTTTATTACCATATGGATCTGGAATTTAAATCTAAGCAGACTGGTTGCAGAGTCCATGCTCTTAACCATTACTTTGTACTGTATGTATGTACGTACATATGTATATATGTGTGTGTGTGTATGTGTAGATATATATTATGTACACTGTGCGTGAGTATATGTGTTTCTATCTATCTAGAAACATATTAGATAGGTAGATACTGATGTGGATTAAGGCTGCCCCAGCTAGAGAAGCCCAAGGTGACCTGGCCTACATGCCAAACTATACAACCCAGTGGACTTTTTATATGGTATGAATTAGGACCGCCCCAGGGAAAGAAGCCCAGGGCATCCTCACCTACATGCCGATCTATATGGCCAGATTCGTATCTAAAGTTATATGACCGCACAATAACCAGACCCCATCTGCACTGAAATCATTTAATGACTTTTTACATCATCTTTTCTTTTCTCCAGTAAAAATAAGTCACGTACCCATGCGTTATAAAATTAGCCCTAACCCTCAACTTGGGGCAGCAGCAGGAGCTCTGACTGCCCGTGGGTCTTGTCCCCACACACCAGCTCTGCCTGCCCATGGGCCCTGTCCCCATGCCAGCGGGGGCAGCAGAAGCGGCGGCAGCAGAAGCTCTGACTGCCCATGGGTCCTGTCCCCATGCTATTCCACACTATTCTCTAAATAAAAGAGCACTACTGCCAGATCTCGAGAGTCTAAGAAATCTTTCTTTTGACTCCTCGGCTCACCAACCCCGCATCAGATATGTACTGCTATGTGTGAGTACACATACATACAGATATACGTATATATGTGTAGGTAATCTCTTAAAGAACATGTATACACACTGTGCTTTACAAAAAGATGCACAGTTTCCTTTAAATAATAAGCATACTTATTTGAATGATAATTTGTAATATTGGGGTTCACAAATAAGTAGGCAAGAACTTTAAAGAGAAAAACACTTACTTGTGTTATCATGTGATAACCCACTACAAATGCTTTGCAGCGAAACTTTTTTGAGACAGATTAACGGGAAGGCACAAGTAGTTCAGTAGAAAGCCTTGTACATTTGTTCTGGGTTATTTTTGCATGTGATGGATAAATGAGGTGAAAAGTGTGTTCTGTGGGGATTTTCCTGCTGGACAAGAAACAACCATAAAAGGCTGACTTTTAAATATTTAGGCTCTGCAGTTCGGTGACTCAATGTCTCATTGTTCTTTAATTGGCTAATTAGCGGTAGGGGAGTTGGGGAGTGGTATTCAGGAGGACGGCACATTCCTGCCTGCAAATTAACAGCACCATTAAAAACCCTGTGTGAGTTTTGTTTTGTTTTGCTTTACCTGTTGCTTTTGTAATGAATTAGGCAAGGTGCTTTCCCCAGTAAAGCAGTTGAAATAGAATTTTTAAAATTTCTTCTAAAATTTTCTTGGAAATAAGGTCTGGGTTTATTGCGATGCTCTATGAAATACTGAGTATGCACATGGTAATAAAAACTACAATATTCCTTTATTTCTTACGGATCTATTTGACAGAAAATTTAGAGATCTTCCTATATTGAATTGAAATTCTTTACTTTTTTATATATATAATTTGATAATTATAATGTGACCTTAATGGAAATGTTAATCCAAATAAACTCACAACATAATTGTTTGGTTAATTTAATGAAGTAATACTAAGTTTAAAGAGTGTGTAGTAATAATGAACAAAGATAAACTGAGGAAGAGGAGAGGAAGTCTCAGAAGATGAGAATGATGAATAAGCAGGAAGGATGACACCACTTACACTGGCCTTTGTTTTCGCTGTACTAAAGTTGTAGATAGTTAACGAAATATTTGAGTAGCAAAGATAAGAGACAAAGATGCTTTATAAAATACTGGTGATGAAACTCTTCTTATAAAAGGGCAGCTGCTCAACTTGGTTGATGTCTATTAAAGACCAAATTAGCCTATTTTTTAAAAACAGAAGCCCTGCAGAGTCATGCTTTCTCTAGGCTCACATTCTCCTTTGTCTAGTAGGATGTGTGTTATGAATGTAAATGAACTCTTCAGACTCAGTTATGAGATGACTCGTGGAGCATCACTAAGCATTTCGTTCCTCCCTGTTACCTGGATTTCCTGGGGGCTGTGTCTGCCACCTCTCATCCCATGCCCCATTCAGTCTCCCCTGTGATTAGGGTCTCTGGGGGACAGGGCACAGCTTCCCCCTGCAGCTTGCACCCTGCCTACTCTTAGCTAAGGTTTCTGCTCTAAACCCTGCCCTGTTTCCTTACCCTAGGGAGGGGGGCTAAACTCTAGGATCCCTACTTTTATCCTTCTTGACAAAGACTGAAAGCAGGTGCAGCCCATCCCATGCCCCTTCCTCCTGGCACTGCTCAGATCTTCTCATCACAGGCATCCTTTCAAGCAGGAAATACTGTTAGATCGTATCAGCCCTAGGAGAGAAAAATCTGCCAGCAATAGGAGGAATGGACCAGCAAACTTGTCAAAGGCACAGAACTTGTCCTATTCATCTTCACATTTCCAGAGCTACCAATGATGCCTCGCAGTCACAGGTGTTCAGTAAATATTGCTTGCACTGAACTTGGACTCCTCTTCTTTTCTTCCCCCTCCCAACTTCATCCTCAGGATCCGTGGCCCCATTGTGGATTTCTTATGAAGCTGCCATAAAAAATATTTTACTTATAATGCCTAGCATGTGATTCGTTCCAGATTAACAAAATTTCCAAAATTTAGATGCCTTAGCTTCAAAAATATTTTTTAGAAGTAAGGTACGGTGTGCAATTTGGGATATAAGGTATGGTAAGAAATAAGTGACTTTTAAAACTATATATAATAGTCAAAAACTGGCAATTACTAAAATGCCCTTCAATAGTTGAATGGATAAATAAATTGTGGTATATTGATGCAATGGAGTACTACACAGCAACAAAAATGAACAGTCTACAGCTATAAACAAAAATATCAGTGAGTCTCACAAATATTCAGAGAACGAAGCCAGATACAAAAGATTGTACTGTATGAGTTCTTATACATCATGTACAAAACAGGCTAAATTAATTTATGCTATTAGGAATCATAACAGTGGTTACCCTAGAGGCTGTGATTCTCAAACGGGCATACTTTGGTCACCAGGGGATATTTGGCAATGTCTAGAGAGATGTTTTTGGTTGTCACACTGGGGATAAAGGTTGCTATTGGAAGCTAGTGGGTAGAGGCCAGGGATGCTGCTGAGGGGGACAGCCCCCCACAGCAAAGAATTCTCCAGCCCAAAACATCAATAGTGCTGCGGTAAAGAAGCCCTATCCTAGAGGGGTAGTGACTGAAAGTGGGCACAAGAAAGCTTCTGGGGCCTGGTAACATTCTGTTTCTTATCTGCGTGCTAATTACACAAACATGCTCAGATGGAAAATTCATCATGATATACACATGTGGTGTGTGTACTTTTATATATGTACATTGTCCTTTAACAAAAAGCTTAAAAAATGTTAAAAAGCTACCTCTGCCTTAGAAAAACTTTATTTAATAAAAATACGTCCTAGGACTCAATTAAAGGATATATTAAGCAGCTATCAGCTTACTTTGACCAAAGTCATCTAGACTTAGTAGAAAACAGAAAAAAAGTAACATGTTGTAGAAAATCCTAAATGCTTAATGACAAAACACAACATATATATATTTCACTTATCAAATCTTGTACTGAATATCAGGACTTAGGATGCACTTTAAAATGGCAATGAAACTTCAAAAACAGCATCATGCACTAATAAAAAATGCATGAATGTTTTATTTACCAGAAAATCCTGGTTGATCTGTAGATAGGAATCTGGCCAAGTCGCTTAGAATCAGAATTTGTTTTGTCAGCATCTGCAGAAACCAAAGAAGAAAACAGCTACTTAAAAAAATGCTTCAGTGCCATCCACAGCCTCTGGCTGACACCTTTCTCTTCAGCCTGCACATCTGCAGCATCTCCTGCTCTGGGATTGTTGGTCCATAAACTGACCCCCATACAAAGAGGGCAAGGAGAGACCTAAGAAAGAGGCAGACCACTCCAGATTGGTAGGTGGCAGGCTGAACAAGCAAGGGAACTTACTTAAAAGGCTTGTCTTGGGTGTCACAAGATGAGTAGATCTCCACACTTACCCGCTAGGATCTCAACTGGGTTCAGTGACATATTCAACCCAGACCGTTTCAACAACACCTATGTTGAGTATGTGTCCTTAAAACAGCTCCTAGAGTGGCAACGGTGGGCAGAACTTCCCTTCCAAGGAGAGGGGAGTGTGTGAGGAACCTCTGACTGCCTGGGTCCAGCTTGCGGCTCATCTGCTGGTCATCCTCTCAATGACCTCCTCCAACAGTGATGAGTCCTTTGTTCCATGAAATTTACAAGGTTTTTCACAGCATGAATTGTCCTTGACAGAGTATTTTGAATGGAAAAGTCTATTGTGGTCATCCGTCTGTGTCTCACATATGTGTGTTAGGTGTGTTGAGGGCATATAACTTGTCTTTTTAGTTTACAGGCCTCCAGCGAAGGGAAACCTCATGTGGCAGGATGTAGGTCCCCAAATCATGAACTTCAATCCTGACGGAAGGAGACTTGGGAGGAGGTAAGTGTATTTTGCATGTAGAAGGGACATGAATAATTGTGGCCAGAAGATGGACTATGGAAGATTATTTACAAAAACAGCTATAATTATTTTCTTCCCTATATCTAGACTCCATGCAATGTGACTTTGTCGCTCTTCCCATATGAGATGGAGACTATTTCCCCACTGCTTTAAATCTGGACTGGCCTTAAGATTTGTTTTAACTAATAGAATGTGGGGAAAGTGAGGCCATCGGAGTTCAGAGCCTGGTCCTCAAGAGGCCTTACACATTCCTGCTCACCTTCTTGGAACCATGCCCCTGCCATGTAATAAGCCTGGGCCAGTTTACTGGACAAATTAGAGACCACATGGAACAGAGACAAGCCATCCCAGGTGAGGCCATCCTAGACCAAGCAGTCCTGGCTAATTCAGCGGCTGCCCCCAGAGGTGGAAGTGAGTCCAGCCAAGACCAGTAAAACCACTCAGCTGAGGCCAGCTCAAACTGGCAGCCCACAAAGTCATGAACTAAACAATTTGGATCAATTTCTTATGTAGCACACACCTCTCTTCTCAGAAAGATGACTCTAAGCAGCTCTGGCATTTATTTGGTTTGTGTCAAGTCCAGTTTTATTAATAGCCCCTCTTTCTCAATAGTTGAGTGAAAGTTCCTAAACTGAATACAGTGACTTAGTTCAAGTAACCTAGCCCTGTCACTGTGGCGAGGAGTTTGAATGCTTAGTGGCCGTACTTGGGTCCTTTCCAGAAGCTGGGGTGATGGGATGGACTGTGAGAAAGTGATGATTCCCAAAAGGCAAAAGATAATAGATACCTAAGGCACAGTATGCTCTGTATCTCATTGCCTCTAATGTGAGAATTCAGGTGCTGTGATGTTTCCGACTGGTTGGTCATTCATTGCCTTGTAGATTCTGTCATCACCACAAACACCAGAGTAAATCATTCATTAATTATTCTACTTGCATGATTTGAAACATGGAAGATCACTAGAAGAAAGAGTCCATTTAGAAAAACTTTTATATTTTGGACACTTCAGTGTCTGGATTTCTGGATAACTTATTTTCTACTGTATTTTATCCTTGAAGCATACCAGGGCTCCTTTGTCCTGAAAAATGAAGGAAGGATGAGTCGGCCAATTTTATGCCCCAATATGTTACAGAATGACACACATTGTAGCAAATACTCCAGTCTTTATGGAAAGTAGAAGGACACTAAGCAAAAATGAAGAAAGAGATGTCTTTAATGCTTGAATAATAAGTATAGAGAGAATTGACAGATAATGGACAAAAGAATATGATTTCCTTTAATCTTCCTAAATAAGCTCTGTCTTCTAGCCTTTTGATTTTCTCTGGCTGACTTGTGGATGTGCTTGACTTGGATTCATTTACCCTCAAAAATAACGAAGACTAAGAGGCGGACATGGTATATGAGTGGGAAATCCAGTGGAAAGAATTGATAGGGCTTAATAGTCTTTCTGTAGATGAAGATTGCATGGGTTCCTTCTGTTAAAATGCTAGTTTTGTAATGGGTGATTCACCAAATCATCTCAGTGAGCAAACCACTCAGGAATCAAGAAATGAATTATAAAACAGCCATAGGATGGACAAATTAGCAGCTGTTAAAATAGTGTTTCTAAGGAATATTAATTGACATGTGAAAATGTACATAACATTTGGCCACGTGAAAAATATTTCTAGAAGTGGATTATGTCATCACTGTCGTAATACATATATTATATATAACATAATATTACCAGTGGGGTCTCTAAAGACATAATTTGAGTGCATTTCTCCTTTTAATGCTTCTTTATGTTTTACAGGCTCTCAGTGTTAGACTGTGTCACTTTTGTAATTATAAAATATAAAAATAAAAATGCAAAATGTGCCAGCTAACTATGGTAGTACCATATAGAAAGTCATGCTGACAAAACATTGAAACCAGAAAAAAATGATTCCCTGGCTCGTCAAGATGCCTCCCTCTTGTATGAATTTTGAAATCAGCATTGTAGTCTGATGGTGATATTCTTTCAAGAGCTGAGAGATCTAAGCTAAATTAAATTACTGACCTCGACAGAATACACCCTAGCAGACAGACCCTGTTCTAAGTATTTTACACACTTTACCTCATGTCACACTCATAACATCCTATGAGGTACTTATTACTATGATCATTTTACACATGAGAAAATTGAAGCATGGAGATTTTAAGCTAAGATGTGGTAGGGTCAGACTCCAGAGTTCTTGCTCTTGACGACTATTCTACAGTTCTCTCCTATCTTGTGACAGACGACATTCCGGGTATTATTCCTCTAAAAAGGAAGGATGTCTCAGAGAGAAAAGCAGAACTGTGAATGCAGAGGCCAAGTAGCCATAAGTAGGCCTTGACCTCCTTCTCTTTGTCTAGTCATGGAGGAATTCACCTTGAGTTTTGAGGACAGCGTCTACCATGGAGAAGCTGAAGGAGGATGTGGGAAAGAAGAGACTTCAGCACAATCTCTGCCTTATGGGGTCCCTTTTGTAAGGGTTGGGATACAATTCAGGCGACCAAACTGTATCTCAGGGCATGCTGCCCATTAGATATTGGTTGTGTGCTAAAAATAAAGGGCTCCTGCTTTCACAAGCTGGAGGATCACTGGATTAGGAAAAGTTGGAGGTCTGTTGCAGGACTTCTCAGAGCCTTCATTATGCTCATGTACGTTTTAGTATCTATGAAGCAGATATAGTGTGCACCATTTCCTAACTCTGCGCAGTCACAAAACATCTTTTTTTCAAGGATCATCTTCTAATATCTCCCCAAGGTAATGTTCTGTGGAACAAAATTTGGGAAATACTGATCTCAAGTAATGGACTCTCTATATTATTTCCATTTTCCCCTAGTCTTCAGTGATTTTTTTTTTTTAATATCCCAACCTTATCTCAAGTGTCCTCTGGAGACACAAAAAAGAATTTGTATCCCTGTTTGGATATGTTCATTAGAGGAATGGTGGCAACCTACTGAGTTTAACATGGTGGAGGCAGCCATAAGCCCCTAGGGGAAATGTATCTTGCTGACAAAGTAGGAACAGTGTCTAAAACTTCACCCAGTCCACCAGGAGCTCTCTCTCCTGTACAGTAAACCTGGGGAGGATTATTGTTAATGCAGCAGTGTTTCCTTCCAGTAATATTAGTTGAGCTTGGTCTATTGCACTGCAGGACTTCCTATATGATATACACAGTTACCAGATAAGCATGTGGAAGAGCTCATCATCAGTGAGTTAATTCAAAAACGTGTGGCCATGGCATGGGCTACACTCTGATTTTTAACATGGCAAAGAAATGAGAGACCTTGGAATAACTCAAAAGTCAGTGCAGACAGCCCCTCCCAGAACCTTCCTTCCTGCACACGCTCATCTTCAAAAATACGTAGAGTATATATTTGGTTGAAGTGTAAGGTCATAAATGGAAAGAAGTTGAAAATCCATGTAAGGAGGAGAATGCCAGCTAAATTACTAGGAGCATCACTGTACTTGCTGATATAATTAACTGACAAATATTCAAAAATATTTCTGTGAATGCTGTCTCTTAGTCCCTTTCTCGGTCATCCTTCCACTTGCAAGAGGTTGACCAATTCAGGAAAGCCTACAGCTCCAGATCTTCACTGTTGGGGGATTGTTCAGTTGTCTCCATGGTCAACAGTATTGCAAGATCATCTTGAGCTTTTTGTTGTTGTATCATCACAGTGATTATCTGTTAAGATAATCAGAGAGGCTGAGCAGTAGGATTTAAGATTCTGGATAAAATTCAAGGGACCAGCATGATGACCACTGACAAAAACAAGAATAACTGCAACTACAGCTTGTTTTCAGAATGGAGGAGAGTGAACAAGAATAGTGAAGGACAAGCATAGAAAATCACTAAAATGAATTGTTAGATGACCTCGGATTTACAACCTATTTCATTCTGTGAGTGAGGTCATCTTAGATCATCCAGTCATCAGCCAACTCACTTCCTGAATGAGCCCAGCAAGGTCTGCCAAGCCAGCCCAACTCCAAAGAACCACCAGCTAACCCATAAAATGATGAGCTAAATAAATGCTTATTATTTTAAGTTGCTGTATTTTGAGGTGTTACACAGTAAAACCTAACTAATGCAGTGTTCTTGGCATGGTGAGAATGTGTGGTCTTTCCCTTGATAACCTGACCCCACTCTCTCTCTTAAAGTCTTGACAGAGCCTCTGAATTTCAGACAAGTCCCACATCGGGTTCCTTGGAAAACCACTTGACATCCTCTGTAACAGTATATCCCAGTTCCTCCCAACAGTGACCCCTGCAGGCTTGCTGGCTCTCCATTCTCAGTACCTTCCACATTCTTCCACAGGGAGTATATAGGGGTTTCTGGATTCCTTCTTTGCTGTATAAGAGCCAAAAGAGTATCAGGGAGCCATCTCCTGTTCTTTCTCACCTTAAATCTGCCACAATTCCATTCCTATTTGGCAGCAGTTGCTCTATGTTGCCAGATGGGAGCCACAAGAGGCTGCCTCCTTCCAGAATTCCAGATGGGCTGTGGAAATAAATGAAGACCATGCATATAAGAAAGCCACCACCACTTGAGTTTGGTAGAGTCAAAGGCAGGCAGGGGAGTAGGAAAGCTTTATAATAAAAGAAAAAAGGAAGGCCTTAGGTATGCTCTGATGGGGGTTGTTGGCGTAGGAAATCCAAATGCAGGCTAACTAGAAGTGGAGCATCTTATGCAATTGGTTTGGAAAGCACATTTGGCGTTCTCTGATTGGTCCTGAGTTGGAAGCTGGGGCAAAAAATAGAAAAGTTGGCAATTATTAACAAAGCGCTAACTGTTCTGGGCCAATTGCTAGAGAGGTTGTGCTTTTACCTCCTGAACTGGTTGCTGCAGAGGTTGCGAGTCAGCATTCTATTGTCATATATGGGCTGGCCTCTGTCCATCTGTATATTCAGTCTCTTAGTCCCTTTCTCGGTCATCCTTCCACTTGCAAGAGGTTGACCAATTCAGGAAAGCCTACAGCTCCAGATCTTCACTGTTGGGGGATTGTTCAGTTGTCTCCATGGTCAACCGTATTGCAAGATCATCTTGAGCTTTTTGTTGTTGTATCATCACAGTGATTATCTGTTAAGATAATCAGAGAGGCTGAGCAGTAGGATTTAAGATTCTGGATAAAATTCAAGGGACCAGCATGATGACCACTGACAAAAACAAGAATAATTAATAGTCCCTATAAGATGCCTCAGAACCAGGAACCCCAACTGCCCAACCCAGGCCAAGTAAATGAATCCCATTGGCCACGAGGAACAACCTTAAAAAGCCAAACAGTTTTTTCCTTAATGCAATGTATTGTCTGTTCTACGTTGCCTGTCTCATTAATCTAAGTACAGCAAGAAGTGTTCGCAATGGCACAGACACCACTATGGCCAGCCAACAAGAAGTCTAGAGCAAAGCAATTGTCCATCACTAATTGTGCCAATGAGTTAACATTGGTCTGTACTTCATCTAGGGTGGAGATGGTATTACTAATAACTTCTGCCAAAGTTAATACATTTCTTATAGTACTTTCTACTTGAATGATTCCCACCATTGGGAAACTGCTCTGATTATTCACATAAACAATTAGTCAGTAATTTCCCCAGGTGGAGGACTTGAGTAATCAAGGGTAGGCTCATTTGGGAAATTGCATCTGAATTTGAATTTCCTAGGTTGGTGATTTCTAGAATTAGGATCTCTGTGTATAAATAAGTCTTAGAATATTATTCCTAAAGTGCATGAGATATAAGTCCGGGGTGAACAAGACCAAGCATCCTGGCTGCACAAGAAGCAGCATCCAGTAGGGGGCACATGAAGATCTAGGAGAAAAAGAGTTGTTGACAACAGGAGGTCAGAAGAAAGGGCTTACATTAGCCAAGTTACATATTTGGATCTCTATTAGTCTCTTCCAGGTGGCAAGTAATGGGCCTATCACCCCATGAAGGTTGCTGAATTCAAACATAGAACCAATTGTAATATTGGTTCTTTCTCTGGCAAAGAAGGGCACTACCAAATTTACATGTTGATTTATTTAAGGTCATTTGTTTATGCAGATGCAAATGCCATTGGATGTAATTCTCTATGATCTTGCTTGATAAGACCCGAGTCGTCCAGAGGTTTCATCATGATGATCTGTGATGGATGAAATATACAGCAATCAGTAATCTTCAGGGCAGTGGCTACTGTTTGGGATAATCTCAGAATGGCATTAGAAAGAGTGTGTTCTGACCTAACAATTATAATAAACAGGAAAGAAAAGAGAAAAAGGGCCATAATGGGTGGACAATAACCAGGGGTCTATAAAAAATGAGAAGAAGAATGGTTATAAGCAAGTAGATGAATAACAAAAGAAGAATTAGTCAGAGTCTTAGTCCCATGTCTTAGGTAGCAGCTGTTGATTATCCTCAGTCATCTGCATATTCCAAAGATCTTGGGTCAGCTGTCTACTTCGAAACATTGGTTGATACTAGAGGATCTCAAGAGAATCCTAAATTTGAGGTTCCTTATTGGAGTAGCTTGTCAACTGTGTGGAATTCTTTATTGTTTCTGTAGTTGTGAAACATGAACCCATAGATACTTCCTGGAGTTTCACTGCTCTATGTGTTGTTAACAGTACCTGATAAAGTCCCTTTCAAAGAAGTTCAGGATTAGTATTTCTCCAATGTCTCTTCCAGTAGATGAAATCTGCTGGTTTAAGATCATGAGGAGGCCGAGGCTGTTTAGGAAGATGTGGTGAGAAGGCACCTTTAATCTGTTAATGATAGGACTGAGTACGAGTCCCCTGCAATATTTTGCCATCTCTGCATACAGCAGGATAGAACATCAGAGATGAAATTCCTAAATGCATGGGTCTTCCAGTTACCAATTCAAACCCAAAATGTTTTGGGTATGCTTTTGGTAGACTTTGCCCTAATTTGGGGGCCTTCTTTGACTCTTGGGTTTATTGTAAAAAGAGGGACTCTGTAGATACCTTTCTGTATCAAGTCAATCAGTTTTTTGGCATCTGAGGCTTTGACCAACATGTGTACAAGTTAATGCAGTTCAGGTAACCCTGGGACGAATGCACCCAAAAGAAGTCTAAATTCTATGAATAGTAGCTGGTCTTGTCTGGGTTAGGGAAAATCTGAATTATAACTGTTAATTCAGCTTGTGTCCAAGGCATACCTGATTCATGGGAGGGATGGAATTTTAGAAGCAACTGGCATTTTGGGGTCTTAGGAGAGTCCCTAAGAAAAGGTAGGGGATCTGGACGGGGGAAAGAAGAGGAAGGAGTTGATGGACATGTGGAAGGAGAGAGATCAGAAGGATAAGGTGCAGAGATAGAGCTTAATATTGAGGCCAAAGGGGAGGATTCACTCAGGAAATGAGTCTAGTTTGTCATTGCTTAAGTTTGTCAGATTGCTTATTAGATTTGGCCAAAGAATCTTCTAGTGAAGTCATTTTTTAGTCAGAATTTCATATGAAGTCCTCTGCAAACCAATAAAAAAACGCTGCCCGTTAAATCTGGAAAACCTTAGCCCCTTTCTTGTCTAAAGCACCTCTCAAATGAACAATTTTGTTCAAGCCAAATGTTCCCAGAGTGGCTACTGAAGATCCAAATCATCATTGGTGAAGTTTGCTATTTAGAGCCATGGATGCGAGGATTAGGGTTGAATGAGAGTTCAAGTAGAAAGGAGGAGTTTCTCCTGGGGGAGGAGGAGAGGACTTAGACCAGATGGTCCCTTGAGAGCAGGCAACAGTGAGTCGAAAGGGATGCTTGTGCACTGGTATCTCGGACCCCCAACCTGAGGGTTGGCTGCCTCTGAACACAGACTGACAGTTGGAACCTCCAGGCAGGCAGAAAATCAAAGAGAACATTCACCAAAGAGAACAGTCTCTCTAGACAAAAGCCAATTTCTCAGAAGAAAACAAAATTGTGATGGAAGGAGAACCTCACCCAGTTTTATTGGTTACTTGGCAAAACTTGACCAAAGGGACTCTGGTTTGCTGGGAACCACAAACTCAGGCTGATAGGCCCGATGCCTGTGTTCTAACTGGTGATCCTTCTTCATATGACAAATGCTTTAGACAGCATGATGCAAAGCAGAAGCATAAAAGGGAGAAAAATGAGTTGAAAAAGAACAACCCGATTCCACCAAGGATGCCAAACAAATGGGAACCAATAACAAAACCCAGGTACTAAACTGAGCATAAATGGCTGAGGAATTCAACACAGAGAGTGGAGTTCAGAGCCAGGGCTGACTCGCAATTTTGGTGAGAACTTGACAAGCCAGGGGCAGCGAGGCACAAGGGGCCTCTGTGGGTACGGCGCCTGGATGAAGGCTGGGGTCCACAGTGGCGGGCAGTGAAGCCTGTCTAGATGGGACCTCTAGGAAAACTCTGGAAATAAATGAAGATCACCCAAATGGGAACAAACAGAAGCTTTTTATTCAGAGCTTGAGTTTGGCAGAGACTCAAGGTCAGGCAGGGGAGCAGGAAAGCTCTATCATGAGAAAAAGGGGAGGCTTCAGGCATGCCCTGACTGGAGGCTGGTGGCATGGGGAACCTGGAGGCAGGTTAACTGGAAGCGGGGGCATCCTATGTGAATGGTTTGGGAGCATATTTGGCTTTCTCTGGTTGGCCCTAAATGGAAGCAGGGGCAAAAAAATAGGGAAGCTGATAGCCATTGACCAAGTCCTGATCACTGAGGGCCAATTGTTGCAGAGGTTGTGGTTTGGCTTCCCCGGCTGGCTGCTGGAGAGGTTATGGGTCAGAGTCCTATCGTCATGTATGATCTGGTTATTGTCCATTTGTATACTTAGCTTCTTAGGGGCTTAATTCTACCAGCCCCTTCTGTATTCAGGGTCTACCTCAAATGCTATATTGTTTCCATCTTTTTACCAGAATTTCCTATTCTGGGTTTCCTGGGGACCAAGAAAGAGTCAGTCCTGGCTCCTTGGCAGAACCAAACAGTGTCTTTCCAGGGTATGCACATTTCTTCCAAATTATCCTCTTGCTCTTCTGGAAGAGAGGGTGCTTTTTTTTCTTTATTACTATAGAGTAGAAGCTTCCCCTACATTATAACCCCCTTCTTCCCCACCCTTAGATTTCTACGTTACAGGTAGGATCCACTTTTCTGTCTCCTGGAGCCATATGCCTCTTGGCTCTGCCTTAAAGGTAGTGGTGGTGGTGGTGGTGGCGGTGGATGGGGAATTGCTGAGAGAAGAAATAGCCTCAGTGTACTGGTAATATCATTGCAACTGGCAGAGAGATTCTTCACTTCTCAAAAGAACTTTAAAACACATGAAAATTCAGATCACTTGATTAAAAAAATTCAGTGTGAATATTCAGTGTGCATGGAAGCCTCTGACCAACTTCGAACTATAAATATTGGTGGGTGAGCATTTTCTCTAGCAACTTCATTCTTTCAGTAAATCTTTACTGAGCACTTCCTTTGTGCTAGGCTCTTTCCAAGGCACTTGGAGATATCAGTGAACAAAACAGAGAGCTCTGCTCTCACGCAGCTTACATTCTAGTGGGGGAAGACAAACAATAAATAGAAAACAGAATAAGAAAGTTCATAGTGTGTTAAAGGGTGGCAGGCACAGTGGAATAAAGACAATGTAGAGAAAGGTAGGGAGGATGGGGCACTGAGGGAAAGACGGCAGGTCCACCTGTCTCCTTTGGTGATGCCTGACTTTGCCATTTCAATAGCAACCTTATTGTTAAGCTTCACTGAAGAAGATCATGACAATTAAGCCATCCCTCAGGGTTTGACGGTTGTTAGGAAAGGAGATGCACACACACACGGGGCCCTTGCTAAATTTCCGGGTACTATTGCTAATTTTATTAATCCTCAGCACAGGCTGAGTCAGCTGCCACGGATCTCAAGTGGTTCAGGATTCAGAGAAGCATTGTATCTGATGTGGCTACAGAGGTTATTAACCAAGTCTGGACTTTATTGGAGGGACCTGATTTACAGTAAGAAAAATCATAAGAGGAAAGAGTTACAAACCAAGACTCTGTAAGTCAGCAATCACCTATACTCCTGTAAAATAATATTATTATTACCAGTATCTCTCGGCACATCAGGATCCCTTATTGGATACCCTGGTCAATGAATGACATTTTGTTATTACTTCTGCATTGTCCTTCTGAGATAGAATCAACCTTACTAAGAAAGCAGCAAAGCTTTTCAAAAGCCATTATTCAGTAGGCAATGAATAGCTGTGTAATAAATTATTAATTGTTCTAAAAAAATGCCTCAGAAAAAAACACCTACCAGAAACAATAAATTCTTTTCTCTGCATTTCTATTTCTATTTGGTCCATTATGATCTGCTTCACCCACTCAGGATACACATATGGTTACCTATCTTTTGTTTTTCTAACTAATCACTGCAGAAGAGCAGAAAATCCAGGATTTCCATTTTGAAGACTCCCACTCCCCTTGAGTTGTCCAAAAACATGATTCACCTAGTCCAATGGGGTCCATCCTGTTTCCTCATACAGCGAGCAGAATGGACTGGACGTGTATTGTGGTCCTCTGCTCTCTTGCTGTCTCATCGTGGGGCTATTGATGACTGGTCCTGTATGATTTGTTTGTACAAGCTTTTGTGTGAACGTACATTTTCATTCCTCTAGGATAAATTCCCAAGGTGAAATGGGTGGGTTGTGTGGTAGGTGTGATTTTAGTTTTAAAAGAAATAGCCAAACTATTTCCCAGAGTGGTTGCACCATTTTACATTTCTGCCAGCAATTCATAAGTGATAAGTTCCTCTGTCTCCTCGCCAGCATTTGGTGTTGTCACTATTTTTTATCTTACCCATTCTGAAAGGTATGGACTGATCTTTCACTATAATTCTAATTTACACCTCCCTGATGGCTAATGATGTTAAGCATCTTTTCCTGCGCTTATTTGACCCAGCTGTATATACCCTCCAATGAAATATCTCTTCTTATCTTTTGCCCATTTTCTACTTGGATTGTTTGGGGGTTTTTACTGTTGAATATTGAAAGTTTTTTTTATATATTCTAGATCAAGTCCACTGTCAGATATATTATTTGAAAATATTTTTTCTGAGTATATCATTTGTCTTTTCATCCTCTTAATAGGGTCTTTCACAGAACAAATGTTTTTTTTTTTTTTAATTGTGATGAGGTCTAATTTATCAATTTTTCCTTTCAACCACTTACTTTTCATTCAACAAATAATTATTGCATCTCTACAATTTATCAAGATAATATTCCAGACAAGAATCAAAGATGTGACATGGTCCCAACTTCAACGCATTTCCAGTCTATTTTGGGAGATTGGAGATATACCCAAATAACTAATATTCCATAACAAGGTTAAGTGGCATGGAAGAGGCAAAAATGCACTTTTTTTGAAAATCAGATATCGTATTTTGACTGACAGTGAAGAAGTGAGTGAAAGTTTCACCATTTCTGTGCCAGAGAATGCCACAAAACAGCATAGAAACTTCCTTTATAAACTCACTTTTTTTGCAGGTTAAAAATGATAATTTTTAGATAACTAACATATATAAATCTCATTACCTGCAAAGCAATTTCACATACACTGTATCAATTAATAACAATCTTGCAGGGCAGTGGAGAGGATAACACCATATTTTATATTTAGGGTAGCTAGGATTCAGTGAAGTTAAGTAACTTGCCCAAAGTCACACAGCTAGGAAGTTGTAAGGTCAGACTGGCACCCCAGTCTTGTGATTAATGCTTTTCTAATTCTACCCAGAATCCTCTCAGGACATATCCTTTCCTTGCCAGTATAAACTCATCAATCTTCTGGCTAAGAAATGGACTGTCTGATTCATGTTTTAAAAGAAGACATGATACATTTCCTTGAGTGCACGAAAGTCAATGAGCTCTTCTTGGTAAAGGAAGAATCCATTAAAACTCTTACAGTGGTCAAAATCATGCAGAAAATGGAAAAACAAGCACTTCCTGTGAATCATGAGGGGCAAAAGAAGGGATGCATATTGCTGAAACTCAGTAAAATTTTCTGGATGACAGCTCAGGATGGAGTAATCAAAGAGGTAGCATTTTAAGTCCTGTTTTTGCAGGCTCATTGTGACCCAAATCATCTTCAAATGCCAAACCTTTCACAGGGAAAGTTAAAAAAAAATCAATCATAGTTCTGGTGAAGAATTGAAGTTTTGTCTGTTTCTGACCTAAAGGACAACAAATAGGGAACTGGGGCTCTTTCTCATTCATAATGTCTCTAGATTTCCATCTGTACTTTCTTCCTGTCTTATTTGTGACTTTGCCCAAATCATTTAACTATTCTATATTTATGTGTCTTTCTTTTAAAATGTTTCTATCTTAGGGAAGATGTTAGAACCTTCATTCTGAAAGAGCCTGTAAAGAGGTGAATTTATATATTAGCTCAGTTTTGCAAACACTTGCGTGGCGTCAAATAACCTTTGAACCCAGCCCCCATTCTTGTCATGATGCAGCCACTGTGGAGAGTAATCATTTCACATGCTACATTCAAGCCTTTACAGTGTTGGCCTAGGATCCAGCTACAGAAGCTGAAGTCTTTACAATGTCTGGACATAAATGAACAAGAGTGTTTACATGTGGCTTGTCGTTGACCAGTCTAGGAGGCACGTGCAGAAAGGCACTGGTGAGCTACCTGCCAGCTCTACCACTGTGCTCATCTCACTGTCCTTGCTCACCCACAAACAATCACAATACCCAAGTCCTAGACTGCTCAAGGGGGGAGACTCCAGACTGAAGCAGGGCAAATGAGAGTTCTTAGACAGCTTAATGTGCACTCTGGGAAAGAGAAGACTCACCTCATTCTTAGATCCTGACCCCTGAGGAGAAGATAATCCTGGAGCTGCCAGGTACCACGGTGTTAAGTCAGTCACCTTAACAAGGAAGCCCACAGAAGAAAGCAGAGAGGAGAGGAGGGGGCGGGGGTGGGGGGGGCAAGGCTGAGACTCTAGCTCTACTTCTGACATCACTGGAACCTCTGAATCCACATGTGCCTGAAGTTGGACCTACCATTTCGTATAACAAAAGGTAAAAATAAGAAAATTAGACAAATATGTTTGGTCGTATATATGCAGATTTTCTCTAGGAGGGTACACAAGAGCGTGATAGCAATGGTTGCCTGTAGGGAGAGGAAACAAGAGGCTGGGAGATAAGGCTGGGAGGGAGTCTTAACTGTGTGCCCATTTGCACTTTTGAATTTCGTACCATGCCAATGCTAATCAAGCATAGACACATGAAATTAAAATTGAATGTAAATAAAATAGAAACAAAATGCAAACTCTCTTCCACTTTAATTTGTGGATAATAAAATCCGTTTAAGAGATGACACCAGATCTTTAAAGAATCAACTCCTTTACCTTTCAAGTTCCCTTGTTAAAGATTTTTTTTTTTGCTGCTGCGGACAGATCAGCGAACCAGCCATCCATTTCTACTGCGCAAATGTGCACGGAGAGAACAACCTCAATTCGCCGTCCTGAGAGAGGATTTTCAGGGTTTTAGGAATCGCCAGCGTAGCTCCACAAACGCTTTATTCTGATGGAGTGACTTCCATTCTGCTCCTAAAACTGAGAGTGTTTTCACAGCTTAGTTATGGGGGCTGAGGCAGTCCGTCTTAGGAAGATCCTGTCTGGGCCCTCTGTCTGATGGTTGCAAACGCGCGATGGAGCCCCGGCCTGGAGCGTAACCTTTCAACTCTCAGTCGTTCTTCCAGGACCTGGAACTCCAGTCGGGAGCCCGAATGCCTTCCTCGCTTGCAGCAATCTTTGGGCGTCCTCCAAACAGCGCGGGCTCACTGACCCGGCCGCGCGGGCAGGGATGGGAGCTTTGGGATACTTGGGCGACAAGGAGCCTGGGACAGCGCCCTGAGCCAAGCGCGACCCCAGTCAATGCGTTTTAAGGAATGAACGTCTCTAGCGCAGTAAATTCATAAGAAAATTAAAGGCATCCAGATCAGGGGATGGGTTACCACGATGACTTTAAATACCCAAGGACTGTGAAGTGAGGAGAGCTGTCAGCGGAGAAGCGCCACGCCAGCTTTGGCGAGGCTCCGGAGGAAGGACGCCCACACTCTGGCCGGCGAGCGGCGGACTTGGTAGAGCCAGGCCAGCGCCGGATTTGGGTGACCCATAGCTCTGCGGTCAGGGAGAGTCCGGGCCCCCGAGGCTCAGGGGCAGGGGACAGGAAAAGTCTTACTTCAAAGCTAGTAACGACCTGAAGTCTTGCCTGGGGGCTCCCTGCCCGCGGCCCCGGCACTGCACTGCGCCGCGAGGGAGCGCCCAGCAAGGGGAGCGGGTCCCCGCCCCGGGCGCGCGCAGCCCAGTCCCGCCTCCTCCCGATGCGCCCCGCCCCTGCCCGCGCGTGCCGCCGGCGCGCCGGGGTAGCTCCGGAGGAACCGGCCGGGCAGGCACCCCCTGGCCCGGCGCAGGCGCGATCGAGCGCCGCCCCTCCTGCCGGGCGCCCGGCACGCGCCCCCGCCCCGCCTCCGCACGCGCCCCCGCCGCGGGCGCCTCTGATTGGCGGTCGGCCGGGCCAGCAGGTGTCGGCGGCGGCTGTGGCCAGGCCCCTGGCTGCCTGCGGCGCGGGCGCCTCCCTCGCAGCCGCTGCTGCCGCCGCGCTCCCGCCTCCAGCCCGCTCCCGGGTTCCCGCTGCGGCTGCGGTTCTGGCGGCCGAGGCTCCGCGGCGCTGCAGCTCAGCTCTGGCGCTCCGACCGACCCGCGCTCCTGCCTCGCAGCCTTCTAATTCAAGCGCCGCGCTGCGGCAGGTGCCCCAGGCATCCCAAAACGCGGTGGCCTGAGCCTGGCCGTCATCACGGACCTGCTCCAAGCTGACCACCCAGTGTGAGTACCGTCCCCTCCCCTCCGGCGGTTTTGCGCCACTCTCTCCCTTACTCTGCCGCAACTTCGGGGGTGGGTGTGTGGAGGAGTCTCTCACGTCCCCGCACACCCGCTGCGCTTCCTGAGCCGGGGTCCCTGGGCATGGCCAGTCTGCCTCTGCGGAGGGGCGTTGGAGGGGGGACGTTGAACTTGCTAGGGGATCGTCGCAGTCAGAACCGCCCTTTTCTCCCGATGCCTGGGCCGGAGCTGGCCTCTGCGTTTCCCTCGCGATTCCAGATCCCCACTGGCCACGTAGCGCTTGGGCTGCGGTTCACCGCGCACCTACTACGCTACGGGCGCAGCAGCAGTGTTCCTTAAACCACTGGGCGAGCGCCCCAAAGCAGCCCAGCGCGGCGGACGACTCTTTAGGACTCTTAATTTCTGTAAAATGGGGCTAATCAGGGACTTGGTCAAGGTCATGGCCGGTGCGCGGAGTAAGAACTCGAGTAGCTCGCGTCTGACCTGGTCCCCTGACTGCCTGCAGAGGGGCGCGCTATTCAGCAGGCGGGGCGGGGGTCACTTCAGCTCATCTCAGCCTCCTCCTCATCCTCTCTTCCCCCCAGCTCCGCCAGATTTGGAGAGGTCGGGAGCCGATCCCAAGGGACCCTACAGAGGTTTGGGGGTAGCCGCGAGGGACCTTCTGGATGAGCGCGGAGCGGAGCGATTCCGCGGTGGGAATCCCGGGACCTGCGGCATTTGCAGCATCCCTTTCATTCCCGGTCACTTAATTTATTAACGTCTCCGCAGGATGGGGGAATTTGCAAGGTGCCTGCTCTTAGATCTGACCTGCTCCGTTTCCTTCTACCAAATAAGCCCTGTCCCCGAGGATAAGTATCCGAGAAACTAACTGCCCACACCAGTTTGGGCCCAGGGACTTCCTAAAAGAAGCGGGTGCGCTCTGGGGTTGGCTCCCATCTACTCTTAGAAAACGCCTGGAGTCTGGCTTCGTTTCTGCCCGCCCCACTCCCTACCCCTTGATCTGGATTTGTTTCACACTTTCCCAGAGGAAGGTGGAGTCCCGTCCCAGAATGTGTAAACGTTGCCAGATGTGAATCGTCTACTCCAGATCCTTTGAGACAGCTCCTGTGGGGCTGTGGGCAGTTCTCAGAGCTTCGGGCTGAAGAAGGGTCGCCCCTCCTCTGTTGACACTGTCACCCTGTCCCTCCCATTCAGCCTTCCTCACCCCAACTCAGTGATGAGAAGACTGCTTAGATAGTTTTATGATGTCTGACATACGTCTTTGAGCCTCACTGTTTTAATCCATAAAATGAGATGACCCCTGCCTTTTAGTCTTCCCAAGGCAGTTGAGGTTCAGGGGACTTGACAGATGAGAAAGTAGAAGGAGGATGGTCCAGGAGGATTTGAGCTGTGGATGGAAGTGGGGGAGATTTAAAGAATTTTTTACAGCAGCCTCTGGGACTGTATTCATAGATCTAAAAATCCTTCTTTCCAGAGAAATTTAGTTTGCTAAGACTTTGAAAAGACAACTTTCCATCTTCCTGTTGATGTTCCTTGCCTGGCCGTGGGCAGGTGCTCTCTCCTAATTACCCCCTCCACCATCCATAATGTGTCTGTGTGGGCTCAAAGCCAGCCATCTCTATGGGGCTGGGGGCGGTCTGTGGAGTTGAGGGCTGTCTCTGGTGGTAGCGGGGGGACTGTGTCTGAGAGTGTGGGGTTGTCTCTGTGAAACTGAAGTGTATCTCTGTGGAGATGGTGTGTATCTCTGTGTCACGATTCTCTTGTGGTCTAGGTGTCCTGTGTGGAGGCGGAGGGGGAATTGTCTGCTCCAGGATCTGCTCACTTTTGAGAAAGTGAAGTGTTAACCATGCTCTGCAATTTAAACTAATAGTGGTATAGATGTGTCCTGTCTCCTTTCATCCTGCCCAGAGGGACAGAAGGAGAGGTCATCTGTGACCTTGGCCTTCAGAGCAGTTAACTCACGCAGACTGAAATACCTCATAGAGAACTGGGCATCCTCCTATTTTTGCCTTCCTGGTTATTACTGTGTTTGCACAGCCTTTTGTCTCAAAGGCAAGTTAAGGAGGGATGACTGGTCAGACCTTGGTGAATTTGTTTTAATGTTATATTGAGGTTTAACATAATCACAGAAAATTGCACAGATCTGACCTGTAAACTCAGCGGATTTTCACAAACACAACATACCTGTGTAATCAGTGCCCAGATTAAGATCTACCCCCATGGGTAACTATCATCCTGCTTAGTTTTGTCAGGCAAGTTTTATTTTTATCACTATTCTTTATTTTATCATTTTAGTTTCAAAGCTAAAATGAAACTAATTGATGATTTTCTACCTCCTTTTTAATGTATGCAAACCAAATGTAGTTCTACATAAGCCAGTCCAGAAAGCTAGAAGGAAGAATTTGGTCTTAAGATCTGGGGAGAGTCTGCACTGGTTGTGCCCCCAACACCCGGATCATCGGTTCTTGGGTGATGTAAGAAGCCAGACCCCAGATAGAACCGTGCTCACGTTGATAAATGGAGGTCAGTTTATTCATAGAATCTATTTGAATAATGCAAATCTGAAATAGTGTCATAAAATATGAACGAAGAAAATATATGACTGAATTCTCATTTGAAACATAAAAAATGAAAATATTTTGAATTCCTCAAAGTTAAAAATTGGTGGAGAATCACAGCATTTCAAGGCTGGGTGATTTATGAACTGTTTATGCTGTTGCCACAGGGTGGCGCCACATTGGCCAGAGAACTGAAATACCCACCATGCTTTCCCAAGGAAAGGAATCCCAGCAATAAAAGTCAATAGTTTGGGATTTCCAAAAGCGATTTCCAAGCGCTATGGTTTTTCCAATGTCTGATGGGCAGGCCCCCCTTCAGGAGCCTACTATAAGGCCATGGATAGAACCCTACCCAGCTTTTTAGTGTGTTGGAGCTGAGGCCCTATTGCCTTCTCTTTAGTGTGTTGGAGCTGTGGTTATGTCCTTGGAATTTTAAAGAAGGTCAACTGAGAAGCTAACTTTGGTGTGTTACGACCCTTTGGTCTCATTTCACCCCAGAATTCCCCCAACAGTGTGAGAGAAGGAGTTCTTTTTTTGAGGCAGGTAGCTCTTTTCACAGAGCACTGTCCACGGTGAACTCGGAAGAATAAACAGGCCTGGGTGTAGGTAAACTGCTGCTGGAAGTAATGCCCTGTGTGTTCCGCAGGGTAGGGACCACATCACCAGGGGCAACCACAGCGGGGCAGGGATGTATTCGGCTGGGGAGAGGGCTAAGTGGACTCACGCAGTGACCTTCTCCTGTCCATTGTCATTCCTTTTATTGTCAGTGTGACCGAGACGCTGTTTAGAAGATTATATTCATGGGCTGGCTGCCATGCTATGACTGCTAAGAATGTTGCATATTTGCCATGTGTTGGACACTATATATATATTTATTTATTTAATCTTCACAATACGAAGAGGGTGGCTTTCCCATTTATATATGAAGGAATTGGGCCCTGAAAATTAAGCACTCTTTCTAAGTTTGCACACTATGTGAGCCAGGGTGAGAATGGAGAGCCAGGTCTCTCAGACAACTTCCCCAGCTGACTTGTACCCTTCTGCAGAGTGAGAGGAGTCTTATGGAATCCGTTTGTCCTCCTTGGCATCTGGTACAGCCGTTTACATTGTAGTAGCTACTTAAGGCTGAGTATGGGATTACCACAAATGGAAGATTCTCTGCTGAGCAAGGGGGAAATCCAGACAGGGAAGGATGAGAATTGGGGTTTGAAGCCATGCAACCTGTAACGCTGGGACGGAGTCTGTGCCCATCAGAATGTGTAGTTTTAGTTTGTGTTTAAAATTTTATGTAAACAGAGGTGTGTCATTCTTTTTTTGTGATTTGCTTTTTTCGCACAGCGTTGTTTTTTGGCGTAGGTTGATAGCAGACGCTGACAATTGTAGATCTAGTGTTTCTTTGTTTGATATGCCAGAGTTTAAATGTTTCCCAGTGATGGACAAAAAGGTGTTTTTACCTTTTACTATTATAAAAAATATTTTAAGGAATATCCCTGATAAGAATTTGTAGAAGGTGCAATATGTGTCTAGGGTATACGTCCCCAGAAGCTGAATAACTAGACAGTGGGATAAGCTTCATCAGCATCTGTGTGTTGCTTCAACCCTATCAGGTTTTGCTGATTGCCTTCTGAAGCGGCTGTGCCACTGCACCCCCTGACTAACACTGTGTCGGTGTTCCTTGTATCCTTGTATCTTTGTGCCTGCCTTTAATCAGGTGTTTTAATTTTGGTTAATCTGATAAGCATGGAATGTATTTCACTGCTAGAGATCTTTAAAAAATATAGTTTGGTTTTCAAGTTTTCTATGCCTTGCTATTTTTTACTAGATAAAACTTCTAGATCTTTAAACTCATCTGAAATTTGTATTTCTGTAGTGTGTGAGGCAGGGATCTATTTGTTTTCCATATT